TCTGGGCTCAGGCTGGTGGAGGCTGTGGTTCATATGGTCCTTTAGTCCTTTGGGCTAATATTTTCCTTGTGTCTTTGGTTTTTTTTCATTCTCCTTTGCTCTGGACGGGATGGGACCAATAAATGTATCTTAGATGGCTGCTTGCAAGCTTTTAAGACCCAGACGCTACTCTCCAAAGTAGGATGTAGAACATTTTCTTTATGAACTATGTTTTTATTGCATTTTTAAATTATAAAAGATAATGCTCACACAGTCAATATTATTAACAGTTTAAGGATAATCATTATTACAATTTAGGGGCTATCTTCTCAGCCTCCTATCCAGCTTCTGAGTACCTGGATGGTACAAATGGTTAACACACTCAGCTACTATCACTAAGGTTGGAAGTTCAAGTCTATACAGAGGTACCTCAGAAGAAAGGCCTGGTGATCTACTTCCAGGAAATCAGCCATCGAAAACATTCCTTAAATAATTTTTTTTAAGAAATGTTTGTCTTTTTATCCCTCCAGTTACAATGTTCAGTATAAAAATCCAACGACTGAAGAGTATAAAGTAGAAAAATCAAGTTCTCGCTATCTGCCCATCTCCCCCTACTCTTGTGAACATTAACGTTTTTCCAAACAATTTTGGCATCATTTTAGACTTAACATTTTTCCACCACTTGGAATATTCCCCCAACTTGCAATATTTTGTTCCATATCGTTACAAATTGATCTACCTCATTTTTCTTTCATGTCTATATGGTATTTTCCAGTGTTTCCCTGAAACGATGTTCAAATTTTACTTAATTATTCATCTATTAATAGCTATTTGCGTTTCTGGCATTTTTGCCATCTCAAACAATGTTGCAATGAAAATTTTTACATAGATCACAGCCCCCTTGTTTGAATATTTCTCTACATAAATTTATGGAAGTACAGTTGCCTGGTCAAAGGATATGCACACTGAAATTTTTACATGCCCTTCAAAAAGGTTATACCCCTTTCACTTCTACAAATAGCAGACGAGAGGGACTGCTTCCTTGCGTACCCTCATCTACATTGGGCATTATTATCTTGTAATTGCCAAAATAAATCTGCTTTAATTTGCCTTTCATGACTAGTGAAGTTTAATAACTACATACATTTGTTGGCCAAGACACTAAAATAGTATACAAATGTTATCCATTAAACTTCTAGCCTGGATAGAGATGCTTACCGCCATATTTCCTGGAGTTTTGTATTACATATATCTAGTGGTAGAGTTTTTTAGTCAAGCTATAGCTGTCTAAATAATATTTTGTATTTCCAAGTCCTAGGAAATTTATGCAAAAGTCACCCATGATTATGTTTGTTATTTTCTTGGGAGTCATTTCTATAACTAGCTATTCCTTTCTTGAGGGTAGAAAAAATGCAATACTTTTATTTATGCTAATTGTGTTTAATAAACATCAAGCCACCCCTAGTTGCAGTGATGTATCTGCTACAAGTCCTGAGGATGAATTTGCTTTTGATAAGGATTAAATGTGTTTCCATTTTGGTCCTTAAATTATCCTTAAAATTTTATGTGAAAGAAGACCAAAGGAATCTGGAAGATGGCCTAATGCTATTAATATGGGAGGTGGTGATGTTTTCTGCAATGAATAAAGTGTACACATTTTAAACAGGAACTGCATGAGCCTTCTTAATTATCGTGCTTGCTTGACAACTTCCCAGTGTGATGAGTCGATGCCAAAATGCTCTTTCTATAATGCAGGGGTACTGTGTTTCTGTAAGATCCTCACAGACTTACTGCTTCACCCACTGGAATACAGATTCTAGAGATTATATGGAAAATTTTGGCAAAAGGAGTACTAACATCATACACCATGTTGTATCACCAAATATTTGATAACTAGAAAAAAGAATTACAGCCGTGATAAACTTATCAAAAAAAAAAAAAAAAAAAAATCCTTTGCCATCGAGTCGATTCTGACTCATAGTGACCCTATAGGACAGAGTAGAACTGCCCCACAGGGTTTCCAAGGAGCACCTGGTGGATCCGAACTGCCAGCCTTTTGGTTAGCAGCCATAGCATGCTGTAGCTCTTAACCACGGTGCCACCAGGACCCTGATAAACTTAGGCATTACTACTATTATTTCTCTTTGTGATCTTTTTCCTTGACCAATCACTGGTGAGCTTTGCTTTGTCATCTCAACCCTCAGTCCATTGGGTTATATTGCCTATTGCAATTTGATTTCTAGTTCAAGCCAACACAATTGCTATCAAGTTACTAGTTAACCCTCTTTTCAGAAATATCTGACTAGTCTGCAACAAGCAACTTTGTCAGGGCCTTACTGGTGGTTCATCAATAGATAATTTGATGTCTTATATTCTCACTGTGTTTTGTATCAGTTCATTTTTTTAATCTTGACCTGGTACTGATCCACACAAATTTCAAGAATTGGTAGATTTTATAGGTAACAAACTGCATCTAGTTCCAAGGCATCAGTGGAGCACGGGCTTCACAAAAGCCCAGCTTAGTTGTGAGTCATGGCTTCACTGCTTAGCTTTCTGGGATCTTGGGCATTACTAACTTCTCTGAGCTAGAGTCCTTATTCGAAACCAGGAATAATGGTACCTATGTCATTGGGTAAAGGATCCCTGGTGACACAGTGGTTAAGCACTCAGCTGCTAACTGAAAGGTTGGCAGTTTGACCCCACTAGCTGCTCTGCTGGACAAAGATATGGCAGTCTGCTTCTGTAAAGATTATAGCCTTGGAAACTCTTTGGGGAAGTTCTACTCTGTCCTATAGGGTCGCTGACTTAGAATCGACTTGACAGCAACGGGTTTGGTTTGGTTATCTCATAGGGTTGTTATGAGGACTTAAACAAGTTGTTGGCATATAGCAATAAAAACAAAAAACTAAGTTATTATTTACTCTTATCTGTAAAATGGATATAGTAACTGCTCTGCAAGACAAAATGCATATACTAGGTGTTTGTAAGTTGTTTTTCTCCCTGCTCTTCCCAATTATCAAATAAGAAATTATCACTTAACAGCAATAGCCGAGATGATAGGGAAATATATAAGATAGCTGAGAAGTCAACACAAACGCTTTCTATTTTAGCTTGAAATCATAGAAATTTAACCTGTTGCCGTCGAAGTCAATTCTGAGTCATAGTGACCCTATAGGACAGAGTAGAACTGCCCCATAGGGTTTTCAAGGCTGTAGACACCTGCCACATCTTTCTCCTGTGAAGCACCCAGTGGGCTCAAACCGCCAACTTTTTCGTTAGGAGCCAAGTGCTTAACCACGGTGCCACCAGGGATCCTCACAGAAGTTTGCTGAAGTTAAATACTTTGAGGTAAAATTACACTAAAAAACTAGAATCACTTCAGTGTTGATGTAAATGAACTTATCAAAAAGAATTTATATATTTTTCATTTTTTAAATATCCATGTCCAAGTTCAACCTCTAGAATCTGACTTTGCAGTTATGCCTACATAAGTAAAATGGAGAATTAAAACAAATTATTTTCATCAGTCACACACCACTCCTGCTTGAAACGGCCAGATAGGTCTTTGAAGCTGGAATAATACAGCTGTTTTGTCTTCACTGGACTAATCCTGGAGTTGACTAACAGAGGTAGACTTAGAGAAGTTAACACCTAGAATCATAATTATCATTAGAAAAGGATTGGCAAACTTTGTGCCATATGCTTACTGGGCCAATGCCTAGGACAGCTGAGGGATAGTTTTACTTCATTAGGAATGGACTGAAAAAGCTGTATTTTGTTTTAAAGGGCAGAATCTTCTAGAAGTAGATGTCTAATATGCTGTCAAATTCTAAACTGGCATTTTCCCTGAGGCCCTGCCACTTAGTTGTCAGCACTAATGAATAAGAGACGTTAAAAGATTCTATAATAATATAAGGTGGAAAGAATGATCTGGTTAGTAGGTGTGTGTCAAAGCTAACACTTCCCTTCTTGGCAGTGTAGCTTATTATGCTTCTGATTTTCTCAACAAGCCCTTACCTACAGCATGCACAAACTATAAGAATAAATACAATCTGTTAACTTCATGATAAATATGCTCAAAACTTGCCACCTTTAATTGCCCACAAATCTGTCATTGTCACTACAAAACCTCTGGGGGTCTATAAGGGTGTGAGGGCTTTGATAGTCAAAGAGAGTTTTTAAACTTAAATAAAACTAATGTCCCTTGTGATATCAGCAACCCCTAGTTTGAACAGGCCATCCACTATGTATTTCAGGGAGAAAAAAAGGGTGTTATGGTTTAGAAATATGTTAAAGTTGTATATGGCTTTACAGTCAAAGTAACATTAAAATTAAAAGTTTCCAAGGTTTACAAATGGGTTTTCTGATGAAGTTGCAAACATTTTAAATGCCACAGTAGAAACTGACTTGACGCTTTCAAATCATTGACTTGTGCACTTTTCTGTATACTTATACCCAAAAGTTATTAATTTGCAAAAAAAAAAAGGAACAACTGGAATTTTTGGGATAGCCAAGGCCTTCCAAAGATTTATCAGCCAGTTGTGATTTTTTTATAAGTCAAATAATCGAAAACTAGAAATTTAAAGATTTGAGTGATAGGAAAAGTACTGCTAATCTTAGTTTTTAACTTTTGGGGAAAAAAAATCCAAACTCTTGTTTTGTTTTGTTTTTTTTGTAGTTCAGCTACGCTTACGAGACTGATGGGATTACAGTGGTATAAATATGAAGGACTACTGAAGAATCTGAAGTATTGTACTATTTGGCTTTACTTGACTATTTATTAAATAATTCAACATCAGACTTGAACATACTGGAAAGAGCTTTCTTACAAGTCAGAGTTTAAGAGCTGCTGCAAAAATACTTTTGCTTTATAAATGGCATTAGGCATGTAAGTGAGATGTCGTATCAAAATTAGTACAGGCCAATTTCTTGGTTAGGAAAATCCTATGTACAGTAACTGATAATAAAAGATGTTTTATTATATTTATATTTTCAATCAGCTACCATTAACAAATTTTAGACTTTTTATATGTATATTTTGACCCTTGACTTGTGGGAAAAGATAGTTAATAAAAAGCTGATTTTTTTAAAGGAAAAACTGAAATTCTTATACTGTTTATTTTTTAAGTATTTAATTAAACACATTGAAGTGGAACAAATCCTTTGCTTTCTCCCTTCTTTTTTATGCACAGAAGAGAAACACACATTGTCATGCCTCAAACTATTTTTTATTTGCAACTACATGATTTCACACAATTCTTCTAAACAATGACATAAAATAGATATCCTCGTGTATAAATAACTTACATACTCTCCGTAAAGTAAATGATCAAAGGTGCTAAAACAGATTGTCCACTTCTACAGTGTTCTCGTATCCAACAAAGTTGATGCACAATATATAAATACTCAAGGTCAATATTAAAAACTCAGGCACTTGACTAACTTTAATAAAGTTTCTCAAACTATATCAATATATCTAAAGTGCATATATATTTTTTTAAGAAAGATTCTTCTCAGTAACTTCTCTATAAAAATAAGTTTGATGGTTGGTCCATCTAACATTACTACTATGAGTATGAACTTTGAACTTTTAATATATAGCCAGGCTTATTCTACCTTTCTTTCAACATGACAGTAACAGAATCAAAAGGAGCTAGTGAGGTGTTAACATGTGAGGATTAATCCAGTGATTCCGGTCACAATGCATTCCAGGAGGTACCCATGTCACTGGAATTGGGCGATACGGTTTATTCTTCCTTCCCTGATTTGGATAACCAAATGGAACAGGAGGTGGGTAGTGACTCTGATGGCCATTCCCTCGGTACATTCCTGGTTTTTTTCTGGGCAAAGGATGCCACATTGGAAGAGGTGGGAATATTAGTTCTGAAATCTGTAAAAAAGAGAAACCTTAATTCAATGGAAAAAGTAATCATTTTATGTTAAGACTAAGTGACCTTTCAGATTCCTAACTAAAGACAAAATCACTCACCCAAAACCCAAGTGACATTCCTAAATGTCTAAATATATTTTAAAAACTTAATTTTTAATAGGAGATGAATTATTTTTAAATTTTATTTTTGGTGAAAATATACACAGCAGATCCTACACCCATTCAACAAGTTCTACATGTATATTCAGTGACACTGGTTACATTCTTCACATTGTGTCACCGTTCTCTCTCTCTCCATATTATTTCACCACCACTGACTTAGACTCACTGCCCCATAAACTGCTCTTTTATGCTTTAGTTACTGTTGTCAATTTGATCTGATAGAGATAATTCTTTAAAAGAGCATAATGCTCAAGGTGAACAGTCTTTGTTAATTCCGCTAAACTGTTGTTTACTTTGAAGATGACTTCAAGGGATCAGTTCCTTTATTTATATATAACACATTTGCCATTGTGCCTGTTTTCTGGTGTACAATTTAGTGATATCAGTTACATAAGTCGAGTAGTATAACCACTGCCCTTTATCAATGCCAATCTTCCCATCACCACAGATATAAACTCACCAATTCCCTTACTCCATACCCCAGTCCCAGCCCAAGTAACCACTAATAACCATTCGTTTTTACATATTTACCTATATAATAGTGATTCATGTTTTTATGAATGAATGTGGAAATAAATGAATAAACTAAATACAGTCTCTAAAACAACTTCGAAAAAGGACATTGAACTGTACATGTATAAATTGTTGAGATCATGTATGTTTTGTTATATTTTCACAATTAAAAAAAAAGGGTGGGTGGGTGGGTAAGGAATGGCCTGTACCCTCAGGGTTTTTCAACTAGAAAAGATAAAAACACAGAATGCATGGAATCTTGTATGACACATCATGTTTTATACCAGTGGTTTGCACAGCTGGCTGGTTAAACAAGGAGACGCATAGAGAGCTTTGAAATACAAAATGTTCATGGACCAGCCCTAGTCTACTGAACAGTAAGATTAATGAAATCTTCTGAATACTGCCCAGGTATTTGGATGAAGCTCTCTAGCTGATTCTGATATATCCACACTGGTGTTTGGGAACAACAGGTCTTATACTCTCCCACAAGACAGGTGAGCACATTAAGTTCACATTATTCAAAATGTTATCAGCAGTTGTGGACCTCTCTGCGCAGAATGTCACACACCCTATGAGTTTCAAATTTCTCTAGTCTCTTATCTGCCCTCCTTAGTACAAATTTTTTTTTTAAATTATTATTTATATTCTGTATAGCATTGTCTTCACATGATAGAAAACTCAAAAGATACAAAAATATATACAATAGAAAGTCCCTCTTCCTTACCTAACCACCAGCTACCCAATTACCTTCTCAGGAGTAACAGATACTCATCAATTTTTGTGTATACCTTCAGAGATATTCTATGCATACATCTGTGTATGTATCTATACACTTTAAACGCACACATACTATCCTGTACCCTGCTTTTTGTACTTTATAACAATACATATTGTAGACATGCGTATCAATACATAAAGTGCTTCCTCATGCTTGTTTTACAGTTACGTAGTACTACAATGACTATACCATAATTAAATTAAATGGTCTCCTACTGATGGGACATTTAGGCTGCTTCCAACTCTTTTGCTATTAAAACACGCTGTAAAAACAAAGCAAAAAAAAAAAAAAAAAGCTGCAATGAATAACCTTAGCACAGTTAATTCTTCATTACCTATAATGCAGAAAATACAGAAGAATTTATAGTACAAACTACCAACTGACCTACACTGCAACATCGTTGCAAAATAAAATTTTTCTTTTCTATATTGCGGTTTTGGTAAAACCAGAATTGCCAGAAAGCAGATAAAAGCCTGGAACTTACATTACACCTACTTCCAGTTAATTCTAACATCCCACAGGCAACCACTGTTCTGAATACTATCACCAGATTAACTTTCCCTGGTTTTGAACTCCATATAAATGGAATCATCCACCATGTATTCTTTTGTCTGGCTTCTTTCGCTCAACCTAATGTTTCTAAGGTTCTTCTATACTGTGTGTATCATTAGTTCTGTTTTATTAATTATTAGTCTACTATATGAACACACCACAATTTGTTTATCCATTCAGCTGTTAATGGACATTTTGTTTCCAGTTTACTATTATGAATAAAGTGGCTATAAACAGTCTAATACAAGGTTTTGCAGACATCTTTTCATTTCTCTTGGGTAAATATTTAGGAATGGAACTGCTGAGTAATAGGGTAGATATATGTTGAATTTTAAACAGTTTTCCAAAGTGGTTGCACCATTTTATACCCTCACAAGCAGGAAAATGTGGCCTTGGTGATAGAAATAACACTGGAGATGGCATGGTAGAATACTGCAAGACCAATGACCTATTCATCGGAAATACTTTTTTTCAACACCACAAAAATGACTACATCTGGACCTCACCAAATGGAATACACAGGAATCAAATCAACTACATCTGTGAAAAGAGATGATGGAGATGTTTAATTTTATCAAGACAAAGCCAGGGGCCAACTGCTGAAGAGATCATCAATTGCTCATATACAAGTTCAAGCTGAGGCTGAAGAAGAAAAAAGCAAGTCCACGAGAGCCAAAGTACAAACTTGAATAGATCTGCCTTAATTTAGAAACCATCTCAATTTGACACACTGAACACTAATGACCAAAGACCAGAAGAGTTGTGGGATGCCATCAAAGACATCATACATGAAGAAAGTAAAAGGTCATTAAAAAGACAGGAAAGAAAATATAAAATAGATGTCCGAAGAGACTCTGAAACTTGCTCTTGCGCACATAGTAGCTAAAAGCATACAGAAGAAATGATGAAGTCAAAGAGCTGAACAGAAGATTTCAAAGGGCAGCTCGAGGAGACAAGGTAAAGTATTACGATGAAATGTACAAAGACCTGGAAAAGTTAGAAAACTAAAAGGGAAGAACAGGATCAGCATTTCTTAAGCTGAAAGAACTGAAGAGAAAATTCAAGCCTTGAATTCAATACTGAAAGATTCTATGGGCAAAATACTGAATGACGCAGAAAGCATTAGAAGAAGATGGAACATACAATCACTGCACCAAAAAGAACTGGTCGACGTTCAACCATTTCAGGAGGTAGCATATCATCAAGAAGCAAAAAAAAAACCCAAACCCACGGCCACTGAGTCGATTCTGACTCATAAAACAGCTGGTACTGAAAGAAGTACAAAGCCAAACTGAAAGCAGTGGGGAAAATCAAGGCTCCAGGAACTGATGGACTACCAATTGAGATCCTCCAACAAATGGATGCACACGCTTTGCCACCTATGCCATGAAATTTGGAAGACAGCTACACGACCGACTGCAAGAGATTCATCTCCGTGACTATTTCAAAGAAAGGCAGTCAAATGGAATGTGAAAATTATTGAACAACGTCATTAATATCGCATGCTAGCAAAATTTTGCTGAAGCTAATTCAAAACCGGCTGCAGTCATGTATCAACAGGAAACTGCCGGAAGTTCAAGCTGGATTCAGAAGAGGATGTAGAACAAGGAATATCATTGTTGACATCACATGGATCTTGGCCAAAAGCACGAGAACATAAGAAAGATGTTTACCTGTGTTTTACTGACTAGGTGAAGACATTTAACTGTGTGGATAATAACAAATAATGGGTAACATTACAAAGAATGGGAATTCCGGAATAATTAATTGTGCTCATAAGGAACCCATACATAGATGATGAGGCAGTCATCTGAACAGAACAAGGGGATACTGTGTGGTTTAAAATCAGAAAAGGTGTGTGTCGGGGCTTATCCTTTCACCTTACTTATTCAATCTGTATGCTGAGCAAATAATCTGAGAAGCTCGACTATATGAAGAATGAGGTATCAGGATTGGAGGAAGACTTACTAACGACCTGTGATTCATGACACAACCCTGTTTGTTCCAAGTGAAGACAACTTGAAGCACTTACTGATAAAAGTCAGACTATAGCCTTCAATATGGATTATGTCTAAATGTGAAAACAAAAGTCCTCACAACTGGGCCCATAAACAACAGCATGATAAACAGTGAGGAAATAGAAGTTGTTAAGGATTTCATTCTATTTGGACCAACCATCAACACCCATGGAAGCAGCAGTCAAGAAATCAAACAGCGTACTGTGCGCTCGGCAAATCTGCAGCAAAAGAGCTTTTAAAAATGTTAAAAAGCAAAGATGTCACTTTGATGACTATGGTGCGCCTGACCTAAGCCATGGTATTTTCAATGGCCTCATACACATGCAAAAACTAGACAATGAAAAAGGAAGATAGAAGAATTGACACATTCGAATTATGGTGCTGGCCAAGAATACCGAATATACCATGGACTGCCAGAGGAGCAAACAATCACGCCTGGAGGAAGCACATTCAGAATGCTCCTCAGAAGCGAGGAGTGGCAAGACTCTGTCTTGCTTCCTTTGGACACATCATCAGGAAGAACCAATTGCTGGAGAAAGACATCATGCTTAGTGAAGCAGAGGGTCAGTGAAAGAGGGAGGCCCTCAATCAGATTTACATAGTGGCTGCAACAATAGCTCAAACATAGTTACAACTGTGAGGATGGTGCAGGATCAGGCAACATTTCCTTCTGTTATACATAAGGTTGCTATGAGCTGGAGGCAACCTGACGACACCTAACAGGTACAGAATAAGGCTCAACTCAAAAGATCTCTAAACTTCTCTGACTTTAAAAATACCTTTTCTGTTGAAGAGTTGTCTAGTTGAGATTTGTTTTGTTTTAATATTTTATTGTGTTTTCGGTGAAAGTTTACACAGTGGTTGAGATTTTTTAAAGACATTAAATGTTTTTTGGTATGGGGGTATAAAAAAATAAGTGAATGAGTCCCTGTATGCATGCACACTTGTTATATGACTTTTTAACCATTAAAGCATAGACGGAGACACTTTTGGCTTCAGTAAAAAATTAAATGAAATATATTTTAATGACGTTTCTCTTTAAACATGAAAAAGGAGGGAAGAACAAGGAAGTCAAGCACAAAGGTAAGAATTGAAAGTGTTAAGAACCACAAAAAATGAGTGTTCATGTTTGAATAAAGAATTTTGAAACCTCAACAATGTTTTATCACGATTCTTCTATTCTTTGCCACACTTTTTTCAAATATATTTACCCTAACTACGGTGTAGTAAAGCAGACCTTTGATAAAGTGAACCAAAAAACCAAAACCAAACCGGCTGCTGTTGAGTGGATTCCGACTCATAGTGACCCTATAGGACAGAGTAGAACTGCCCCAATTAAGGTTTCCAAGGAGCGGCTGGTGGATGTGAACTGCCAACCTTTTGGTTAGCAGTCAAACACTTAACCACTGTGCCACCAGGGCTCCTGATTGAAAGTGAACCAGGATACCTATTTACATGTTAGAGGTCCAACTTCCTTTTGGTGTGGAAAGACAAAAACTGTAATCTAGAATCTCAAATCAGAAACCTTGGGCAACATGTGCAGGACTTACTAGAGCAACCTGGCAAGCCCGGCTCACGCCCTTCAACACACAGCCGTTTCACGGTTACCTGGTACACAGGGCTGGGGGTTGCAGTCACCAAAGTGGGTTTCACATCCTTACTGGTTTCTTCATCTGAAGAAGAGGATCCTGAATGATAATCAGAGGTAACCTTATCAAGGGCCCTGGTAACTTTCTTGGAGATCTCATCCTTGTTCTCATCCTCGTGTTCAAAGCTGGCAACAATGAAGGCATTGTTTTTCTCTCCATACCTAAGAATAAAATAAAATACTTAACAAACCTTGAAGTCACATCAAAACAGCAAGAAACAGCCATAAAAACAATTAAACGGGTCTGGATATGCCATTGGTCCGAGACCAAAAACACTCCCAGAACTTGACCCTACACATTTAATACCCTAAACCCAGCTCCATATACACCAGCAGACAAGCCACAACTCTCTGCCTGGTCTATTTAAGTACTAATAAAGGTAACCCATTCTCTTTCCCAACTGTCTTTCTTTTCTACTGCCTCCTAACAAAGATAATTATTTAAGACACTAAAGACAAAGTCATTGTTTTGATTACATTTTCGTATGTACCGCTGACACTGGTTTTACAGTAACATTTTCTAATGTGTTTTAAACTATCCCCTGTAATATACATACTAGTAATTCAAATCACAGATCACTTGATGTGTCTTATGGAATTTACTTTCACCAAAATTAAATAAAAAAGAGGTTTGTGTTTCCTTCATCCACACTGACAAAAATGAGAACCGAGGCACTAATTGAGGTTAAAGGGAGAAAGACTATTGTTGAGTAAAACAAAGGGGTTTTCCTTAAGTTATATTGCCTACCTCATATAAAGTAAAATGAGCAAGACTTTTTATCCTTTCAAAACATTTTGAAATCTTGATTTCAGAAAAAATATATTTTTTAATATATAACCTAGGCTGCTGGTTACAAAAACAAACAGAATAAATCTTGTGATGAGGGAAAATGGCATCATGAACAATAAAGTTTTTATCTGAAGAACAAAAGAGAAATCCACAAATCTATTTAAATAGACTGCACAATGTAAACACTATGGAACAATTTCTACTAAGTGTTAGAAGAAAGAAAATTAGTTGTTAAAAACAGTTCGTACACAACATGTAATTAAAGTTAGAAATACAAAGTGATTCTAAGCTTCAAAACAAATAACTAAGTGGAAATAATGTCAAGCTTTTCATTTGACAGAAAAATAGGGTTTACTGATGTCATTTCATCTCAAGATAACTCATCTCAAATTCTCTCTGAATCAGGATGATTATCTGATAAAGTAAAAGGCCTGACTGCTCTAAAGCCTTTGAAAGTGTATGTGGAACACAAGTAATCTCCTAGCTGAGTTCTATTTCTTTATATAGCTGTGCTGTCTTCCACTTCAATAGGTTGGAAAGGGTCATATATGCTACCCAAATATGGCACATAGCTTTCTTCTCTATTCTTTTTCAATTTACCTCATAAAAGGTGCTATGGGATGGTAGAAAGATCACTGGACTTGTATCTGGTCTGGCTTCACCACTAACTAGCTCTGTGACCAGGAGGCAAGTCATTTAATCTCTTCAGGCTTCAGTTTTCTATCTGCTGGGTGAGGAAGTTGGAGCTAGCTGGATACTTGCTGGTCTTTGGCTGGAGATTCTTCTTAGTAGAAGATGCCTAACACTTGGGCGAATTCCTTACAACACAGAATTCATGCACTATAATTCCAGGTTTACTTATCATAGGGCTTTAGCAGTGGAAATTTACTCCTCCTTCCTCTACATGGTTGAAAGACTCCACAGATCTTGATACAATCGAAGGTTAATTCATGAGTTAACGCTTACTCCTACCCTAAGTCTTCCCCATTAATGGAGTAAAAATTCAAGCAAAACAGAAAGATGGGGAATTGGAGAAAAATCCCTGCCTTTGTAGGAACAGAAACCTAAATCAAGGACAAACATCTAATAACTGAAGATCAGATTTATTAACTCAAATTTCTTTGACATGCAAGTTCAAACAGGATCTCCATCTTTCCTTTGTAGTGTCTTGGTATGAGGGTTCTCTCAACGCTAAGTGAAACTGCTGACTATATTACTATAATATTAGAATGTGCAGTTAATTCCTCAGAATTAGTAATGAACCACTTTAAAAGTTTCCATTTTTCAATGACACACTGCTAAAACATTTCAGTTAATTTGAAATAAATCAATAGTATCTAATACTCAGGGCCGGATTAAGCCATGCGAGGGCCCTAAACACTGATGGTCTGTGGTGCCCCCAGCTCTGCTTACTCATGCATTCAAATGGGATATGTAAATTATACGTATACATGTGTATGTGTATATACATGTGTTTGTGTCTTAGTTATCCATGCTGTAACTTTTTAAATGCGACTATAATGTTAGCGACTGAATACAAAAGTGGGGTATGCCTAACACCTTGTTTATTGGCAAATATAGATTACTATCAAGCACTGTGTCCCATGCAACAGACAACAAAAAATGAAACTCATCTGACACATAAATGAAAACTTTTCGTGTTAGATAAATATTAGTATTTCCAGTATCTTTGGACGTTTACTATGTATTGTGTTAAACTATTCCCCATGCCAGTATTATATTAAATGTGTACTAGGTTGCATCCACATGTATGCTGAACGTATTTTAAAGTTATAATAAATATTATTGTTTACAAAACTTAGGACGTAACTTTGTATGTGAAAGCTATACAGTTAAAAACTAACTTGACTGAATTCATTGCAATGGCTGATTTATTTGTGTTCCCTCTCTTTTGTGCATCATTAAGGACTGGAGTCCCCACTGGTTGTTTACCAGGACGTACCCAAGAGTATACTCTTGTGTTTGTACCACAGCAAAGAGCACTGCTGGCCCCCCTGGCTGGAGCTGCTGGATCAGCAGACACGGATGTACAAAATGGTTCTCTCAAAATGGATCAGAGACCTGTTATCTATTAATATAATCTGTCCTTGTCCAGTAATGGCTCATGTTGGATCCAGTTGCATATTGGGTGAATGTAGCCAAGAGTTAGACTCAACAGCTCACCCTCACCTCGTTTATTGGAAAGAAAACAGTATACTCCCAAGAGATCCGCCAAGGTAAGGAGTTTCAATTACACGGGAGGGGACCGTAGGAGATAGATGTTAACGAAGGTGTTGGAGTGGAGGGGCCTCACAGCTTAAACCTTGCATGTGGGCACCCTTGTGATCCTGTTGGGCTTTATTTCCAGCTGTCACATTCTCACACACTAGAGCTGGTATCAATTTCATTTAGTGCCCTGCCAGTTCCCTTCCACTGTGTTCTATATTCACTTTTCCTTGTGTCCTATGGGTCTTTGCTTTGGACAACTGGTGCCCCTACTTTGTTGATGCCCTGCTAATACTCTATAGCAGGGGAGAAAAAAAAAGGATTGCAGAAGTTACAAAAAAAAAAAAAAAAAAAGTTGTAGAATGCTGAGTACATAATGAAGCTATCAGCTATTCTCAGGCCTTGTCATCACGGGAAAGATCTGTCATCTGTTCTATATCCTCTAAATATTTAACTAAGTGACACCCTTTCTAACTATATGGAACTCTTTGCACCCTTCCAACATTTAATGCTGATAAAATAAGACTATGAAGAATGTTCCCCCTGACTGCATCTCAATTTTTTTCATAACCTTAAATTAGTCTCTAGTATACCAGTAAGCTATTATGTTTCAACCACTTTCAGATATTTGTTCTATTATATAACTACTATATCAGGTTTAATTTTCAGTATATTTATCTTTCTAGTTTTGGTCCAAAAGCACTTCACAATATCTCAGTCTATTAACTTATAGAAATCACTTCTATTCAATTGCTAGCAAGTCTGTCTTTCTGGTGTTCAGTTACTCCTGAATCGGTACCCTACATTCTGAAAGTGATTTTTATTAGCTGTGAGAAAAAATCGTATCTGTGGTGCTATGAATTACTTAATATGGCCCTTCTAGCTATAATCTTTACAACTCCTACCAAATAACTGGGTGAGACTATGCAAATGAGGTGCCTGTGGTCCACCAAGGGGATTGGATAGCTTGCTAATATAAAGAGCAGACACCCTTGTGGGGGTGGGACCATGCAAATAAGGTGTATGGAACCATAATGAGGAGACTGGTCGGTCATTTTCATCCTGCTAGGCTTAAAATGAGGTATCCCAGAGGTGGAAGAGGCAACCTCATGACCACCACGAAGAAGAAGAGATGGTGTGGTGGGCTTCCTGGCCCAGGGAGCAAGACCACCAAGTGCCTTCGGGCAGGAGGCTTGATGGCAGAGTAGGGTGCCTCTGGGCACTTGGCGAGGCTGTCTGCCGATCCACGGAGTTAAAGCTGAATGCCTTTGGCCGAAGCTTACTGGTAGAGTTAGGGTGCCTCTAAGCACTTACTGGCAGAGCTAAAAGAGCTTCGTAACACTTGCCTGAGCAGGGCAAAGACTGAGGGGCCACAGAGAGGTGTGCCTATGGGCACAGCTGAAAAGAGGCTGTCCTAATCAAAGAACTGTATCCTAAGCCTTCTGGAACCTGAACTGTAACCCGCTACCTCCCTAATAAACCCTGTAACTGTGAGTATGATCTGTGAGCTCTCTGTGGCCACTGCAACAAATTACCAAACCCAGCAAAGAAGCAGAGAGTGCCATGGGAGGAACAGTTGGTGTCATAACTGGTAAAAAGGTTGGTCTGACCTCCGCCTCATAGGAAGCAGCCATGGGTAACTGATGCTGGTAATTCTCTCTCCCCTTCATGAAGTTAGAGAAGGTCAGATGCCCCGCCACAACATTTTTACATCACAACCTATTTTTGGAAAAATCTTTATCATATACAAAATTATTAGAACATAAAGATTTTCTTAAAATAATAAGCAGTGGTAGGAAAAGGGACAAGTGAACATCAATGAAAGAGGTTAACTGACCTATAGGAGTCTGGGTGTCTAAGTTCTACTTGTTCTACAATAAATTTTTTGGCCAACGCTCTAGAAAAACCCTGCCCAATCAGTTTCTTACTTTCTTCAGCTGCAAAAGAGAAATGTGAGTAGTCCTTCACCATCACCTCTAGAAAAGTACTTAATAAAATTCTCTTCTAACAAAGCCAAACCACCAGCTCCTGCTTGTAAAGCTATACAGGCAAGCAGTACATGAGAAAATTTCACGGAAAATCAGTTCTGGCACATAATCAGTGAGCTGGTAAAATCGAGAACTCACCGACAGCACACCTCACATGGGTCCACCCAGAGAGTGAGCTCCTTTGGCAAGCCCAGGTCACTGTACAAGATGCAGCTGTTCTCGCAGGCTTTCAGGACGTCAGGATCAACTCTCTGAAACTTATTGACACGAATGCATCTACAACAAAGTGGAATTATATTAATGGCTTTAACTAAATTTTAACCATAAATCTAGTTACATCTATCAGTATTTGTCAGAATATTTAAAAAAAAAAAAATCCTGATTAGGTAGTAAGTGTAAACTACAGGCAAAGAGGCAGAAACAACAAGACTACTCAGTCTAGTGGACAGAGGACACGTATGTGAGCCCAGACAAATCACTAGAAGTGACTCTACCTCAGTTAATCCAGAGACCATTCAACCTTACATGTACATTAAACGAACAAGGAAGGAGTATGAAAGTTGCATAAAATTACTTAGAGCTCTGAACGTAAAAATTTTTCTAGGCCAAGTTCCTATTCAACAAAATTGCCAACTAACAAAGACTTCAATCAATGTTTCAAATAATATTTAAAAATTCTTATGGCAGGTTTTGATCTGTTATTACCTTGCTTTTACATCCTAGATAATAAAGTATTAAAAAGTATGCTCTTTACTTAAATTGTTCTATAAATATAGAATTAGTCAAGGACACAGAACCATTCATCTCATATTTAAGGGCAAAATACAATCCTGAAGTGTTATTGTTTTTCTTATTTGCTCAGTTACCCCAGAGTTTTCTTTTTAAAAAATATTTGTCAAAACAAGTAAGATGAGGTTACTTATGTACAACCAAATACCTCATGAGATTTAGTTCCTGGGTTTGGAGGTTTAGGGTCATGGTTTTGTGGAATATCCCAGTTAATTGGCCTAATAATGGGTTTAGTGCTTCTGTTCTACCTCCTAGTTCACTGAGTAGTGCCTGGGGTCTTAAATCCTTGCAAGCAGCTGTCAAAGACATAACAATTCGTCTCTCTTCATCTGGAGCAGGGGAAGGAGAGTCAGGAATAAGAGGAGGATATGAAATGTGTGGCTAACTGCCTCCTTTGCCATGAGACCAGAAGGCCTGCATAGTGCCCAACTACCATTATTGAACACTTTCATCAAAGATTCCATAGAAGAATCCTGATCAAACGGGGGAAAACGCAGAAAAGAATTTCAAATTCTCATGGACTCCAGATTTCCTGGAGCCATGGAGGGTGGATGAGCCCCTGAAATTAGTGCCCTGAGATAATCTTTAAACTTTAAACCAAAAATATCTCTTGAAGTCATCTTAAAACCAAACAATAGTTTAGCTAAACTAGTAAAAAAAGGTCTGTCGTGAGCATTATGCTTTTTCCAGAACTATCTATATGGGACCAAACTGACAACAGCAACTCGAAACATTAGATAGAAACCTTAGGGGGCAGCGAGGTTATGTTACTGACAGAGGAATAACTCAGAAAAGGAGGGTGAGAATGGCTGCACAGCTCGAATAATATAATCAATGTCACTAGCTTATGTAGAAACTGTTTAAATGGTTTATATTTTACTGTGTATATTCTTAACAACAGCAAAATAAAAATTTAGAAAAGAAAAATTACTAAACCAAAAGAGCCTCTTCCATTTTTTTTTTAAACTTAAGAAATACCACATTTACCTCATGGAATGCCAAAGACGCCTCCCAGGATGAATATGTCAAAAGTAGCACTCTGCTTAATTAGGAAAATGGAAGCAACAATGGAAAAGTATTTACTGCCTAAGACCTACTACTACTAGGAAATCAATTAAGAGAACTTGGGTTTTAGTACTAGCCACTACTAAATTTCGTAGTCAATAAATCTAGTACTTATTTACAAGGTGAACTTGGGTAAATCATTTTGTCTCTTCCTCAGACTTTTTAAGTTATAAAATATGGAAAATACAAATTAATTGGCAAACAGTAATTATACCATAAAATACAATGCTCTCTCAATGGAGTAACATACCATTTAAAGTTAAAAAAAAAAAAAATTATTTAATTAGTTGGTTTTGATTTTCTTTAAAAACAATGAAAAACATTTTCATAACAGCTAACAATAATGTTTCTAAACAATAACAGTAAGGGTTTACTATACAATAGATAGTTTTCTAAATGCTTTGCATGTGTCAACTCTTTTATTCTCACAACTGTCATATGAGTTAGATACTATTACTACCCCTTGTAAGGAAAAAGGAGGCAGAGAATTTAAGTAACTTTCTCAACATCACACAGGTAGTAACTGGTGGATCCAAGGTTTGAATCCAGGCCATCCAACTCCAAACTCAGGTTATTAAACAGTACACTATTCTGTCTTTACGTATCTAATGTCATGTTAACAATACAGCTAATTCTGAATGAAAAGAACTATCTTACAGTATATAAGATGCCAGTTGGTCCTTTTTATAAAATGATCCTATGCCAGATTCAAATGTATATAGGACTATTCAAAGTCCCATGGGCCCCAGGATCAAAATCACCTAAGGGTAGGAAAATACATCTCAGCTGTATATGTTTTTCTTATAGACTATGAAGGTGTGTTGGCTGTAAGCTTAAAAACTATATATTAAAATACAAATACTTAAAGAGACTTTGCTTCAGCAAAATTTGCATACCTTACATATTCACACTGGTTTTTCAATCTACATACCATGACTACTTATCCATTAACTACTCTTCAAAAACAAGATTTTAAAAGTTGCACAAAAAATAGTGTATCATTTCCCTAATGTTGACAGTTTAGTTCTTTCCAATTTTTGCTGTTATAAAGTATAAGAAATGTCCATATTCATACGTATTTGTCTGCACTTCTGATTACGCTTCTAGAATAGTTTGAGACTTACTGTTCAAACAATTTGAACATTTTCATAGATCATAATATTGCCAACTTGTCCTCCACAAACATTGTGTCTATATATATATATATATTGCAAAAAAACAATTTTAATTTATATATATTTTGGAATAAAAAAGAACACTTCCAACCTACCTATGGATTGAACAGTCTATTAACTCTGGTTAACACTATATTCTATTCATTTTTATAATAGTAAAGACCCACAATTAAATCTAATAGTTTTCTACTTCAAAGACAGCTTCAAAAGGACTCAATAATGATACTTCTAATCACACGCCAACTTAATACTGCTTGACTAACTTTTTTCTCAGGTTTTTAGAATTAATGGAAATGAAAATGTACACTGTCTAACCTTTAAGCATTTACTTGACAGTGTCTCCTTTTTCAGCGATAGTATGGTAGCTTGGCACTTCCAAAGCCTTCATCCAATGTCAATTAGATCAGTATAAAAAGCCTCAGCAGCTCTACCTCACAAAAGCTGTTCAGACTATCAGAAATGTGATGCAAAATACTACTACTACTACTACTAAGAGGATCATGAGAAGTAAAAATAAAGACAAGCCTACTTTATATAGACTACCCATATTTTTACTTTAATTCACATTTTCCAATTTACTAGGAAACCTCTTTGGATAAAAATCAAGGGGAAAATACACCAATTACCTTATTCTTTTCTTGTCAATAGGATACAAGCTTACCTGAGTTTTAGAAAATGAGAAATAAAATAAACTTATTTTCACCTTTCTCTTAGACTCCTTGAATAGTCCTGTACTTGCGGCTCGGCAACTGAAAGGAACTCCTTTTTACCTCAAAGCATGAAAGTGTTGATTTGTGAAGGAAACTTTGGGGACAGTAATATGCACAAATCACAGAGAATTTCTGTAGCTGTCACGACAGTCACAAGTGTTTCACTTTTATTTTTGTGGCCACATCCACAAACAGGGCAAAGTTTAACAGCTGAGTTTAGCAACAGAACATTCTCAAACCAGGTTCCCAAGCAGTCACATAAATACTAGGGAATAAGCATGCCAGGACATGTTTTGCAGGAGCCTGCTCTTTACTTTAAACTGTAAATGTAACGTATAAACCAGAGTACAAAAGAGAGGTGCAAGTGAGAACTACCCTCCCTCCCAGCACCAAGGCAGTGGCCACACTGTGGTGTACAAAAAGCCCATAAGAATTTGGTGTCATTGAGACCTGAGTTCAAATCCTAGAGCCAACACTGACCAGCTGTGGCTCATAGGTGAGTTACCTAAATCTATAAAATCGGTTTCTACCACAAAATTACGCAAGTTAAAATTATTCTGGTAAGTATCAAGAACCTAGTATTAGGCGTCTAATAATCTTAGTTCCCTTTCTCCATAAAACTTTCTTTCGCCTAAAAACACGTAACATGTAAATTTATTTTTAGACACAAGAAAACTCAATTCCCTCAACTCTTACCATGACCAATTGTGGGTGATAGTTTCAGGGCTCCTCGAAAATTGTGCAAACCCTCAGTACGTCTGATATATAGAAAAACGAATGCAGTTAAGGAGTCAAACTATAAGCCACAAGAAGACTAAGCCCTATGATCCTACAGTGTTGGCCTCCTAACTACAGGCAGTGGGACTCCATCAAGAAATATCTGTGCTGTATTTTGCGGATAAAGCTGTGCTAAGCATGATTCAGATAACCTTTCGTCCTCTTGCTTTGCACCCATTTCCAGAATTGACTGCCCTCTTTGCTTAGTCCAATCCAACTGTCCAGTCTACTCCTTTACCTGTAGGCCTGTCCTTTTGATGGTTTTTCAGGATACCAATGATTTTTATACTTTTCTTGAAGTATTAGAGTCAATTTCTCAGCAAATCTCTCAACTGCCTCTTTTTTCAACTTATCATGTTTTCGAACTAGCCTTGTGAAAAAGAAGACAACAGCAGCAATTTCGTTCTTCATCTTGCCCTGCAAAGATAAAACAGGTTTTCTTAAAAACACAAAGTATAAAAACTGGGAGATAAAGCTCTGTAAAATATCCCTCCTTCGTAACTCCCCTTTCTCCTCCCAATTTTATCTTGTGTTTCATTGGCTCATATCTGAAGTAGGGAACAATCACTAATTTATGTTTATGTCATAAAGAGTTTATTATTACAAAATACTAAGAGTCTTATCACTTAGCTTTATGAAGAAGTTCAGTAGAGAGAGTATACCAAATTGCTCCTGTTGTGGGCCCTGGTGGCGCAATGGTTAAGCGTTCTGCTGCTAACCAAAACGATGGCAGTTTGACTCCACCAGCTGCTCCTTGGAAACCCTATGGGGCAGTTCTACCGTGTCCTATAGGGTCACTGTAAGTCGGAATCGACTTGATGGCAACAGGTTTGGTTTGGTTTTTGGTATCACAGAGAAGCACTATAATAGTTTTTACAAAGTATGTCAATATTTAACTACAACAAGTTTAAAATTCTGTGAAATGATTTGAGTTTTAAAACACAAAATAGTCCACTTTAAGATTCAGCATTACGGAGCCATTTTGGAAAATAGTTTGGCAGTTCCTGAAAGGGTTAAATATAGAATTTACCATATGACCTAGCAATTACATTCCTAGGTATATATCTAAGAAAAATGAAAACATATGTATACACAAAAACTTGTACATAAATGTTCATAGGAGCCTTATTCATAATAGCCAAAAAGTGGAAGCAACTCAAATGTCCATCAGCTTAAGAACAGAGAAATAAAATGCAGCACACCTCCACACACTGGAATATTATTCAGCCATAAAAAGGAATACAGTACTGATACATGCTACAACACAGATGAACCGTAAAAACAGGACGCTAAGGGGAAGAAGCCGGTCATAAAAGACCATATATTGTATGGTCTTATGTGAAACATCCACTATAGGCAAATCTATAGAGGCAGGAAGTAGATTAGTGCCTAGGGTTAGGGGAAGTGGAGGGGGGAAGGGGAGTGATTGCTAACGGGTAAAGGGTTTCTTTTTGGAGTGATGAAACTATTCTACAATTGATTGTGGTGAGGGTTGTAAAACTCTACACTAAAACCATCAAACTGTACATTTGAAATAAGTGAATTGTATGGTATGTGAATTACATCTCAATAAAACTGTTACATATTTTTTTAAAAATCCAATATTGAATTTATGTAAGTGCTTTTTCAGGAAGGGAGATACATTTATCTAAAAGATATGACATTAAAACAGTGGCTCTATCAAAACATATTTAAAGACCATGGAAATTCAGGCTCATCCACAGAAAATAAAACCAAAAGAAATATGCTGAGATTTAGCTGCACTTTGGCACTGCCTCAAAGGACTTTTTTTCTTTTTTTTTTTTTAAACGGCAGATCTGATTTATCACTGATTAATTCATAAAGGCAAAACCCTTATCCTGGGATTGTTTCGATGTGTATTCTGTCTTTACGCAATGAGCTCATTCATTTGGCTGCTATAAGTAACTTGGAGTTATTCAGACGCTGTGCTTACTAAGCAACATCACCTTTTTTGGAGCCAATTATTAAAGATATACAGCTTCTGCTATGTTTAGAATAAAAACTGGCTAACCTAGCCATAGTTTGTAGTCCCACACATCCAAAAAATAAAGCTGATTCTGTTAGCTTCCTTTTTTTTCTTTTCTCAAATCTGCTTTTTAAGTCTCTCTTCTTAATGTGATTCCTTTACTTTGTGTGCAAATTCAAACAAGGGACCCTCCTTGTGAAATAAATTCCACACAGTTATCTGAGAGATGTGCTGGCAGCCACAGCCACCCTGATTCTGGATGGGAAGACACCCAAACCTTCTTCCTGGAACCTTAGAATGCCAAATCCACCTTCTGCAACCAGCTACCAGGCACAGGTTTGCATTGGCACACACAACCCTAACCCACCACCAACCACTGTGCAGCCTCCTCCTGAAAAATGCGAACCACTTCTACTTTATAAAGCTACATTTATACAGCACCATGTTACGACGGAAAAGAAAACCCACTGCAATTTAATATATGGTTTGGGATGAAAGTTGCTGATGGAATTACATTAGCCTCCACCCTACCAAAGAAAACAAGGAACCACACTAAAGGGATGTTCTGAATCCTTAACTAGATCACTCTCCCCATTCATTAAATTTGCCAGCTATACGCTACATATCAGAATGTTGGGTTTGTTTTTCTGTTTCACATTAAAAAATAAAAAGGAAGAAAGGAAGGAAAGAACCACTTAGTGGTCCTCCTTTTTACTTCTGGTTGTAACACAGATGAGTCATATGAAATTATTATTTTTTTTTCCATTTTGAAGGAATGATGACTGGAAAAGCTGAAAAACTAACCCACCCCCACCAGTATTCTAGGAATACCAAAAGGTAAAAGGGAGAGAGTAATAAAGTCAGGGAGAGAAAAAACAGAGGCAAGTGGGACTAAGAAGACTTTAGGCGTCTTGAGTAAATAAGCAGCCACAATTCTTTCACCCACACTCGGAATAGAAAGCTCCCATTTTAAACATCGCACGGTGACGTCATCCTGGGACGTAGTCACCGCGGCGGCTGCCCCTCAAGTTCTACTTTGTTCCACAGGCTCCTCTGCTCAGGACTGCACACGGATAAAATCCGAAGGGAAGCCAAGCCCTGCCTTCCAGGAGTTTATAACTTTTCCCTCCCTTGTAACGAAAACCTAATCGCCACCGTTTCTAGAAGCAAATATTTCCCCTGATAGACGTTCCAAGGTTGAGGAAACGGGAACACCGGCCTGTGGGGTGAGGAGACCTTGACCTGCCTCGGGGGCGTTACAAACGGGGCTCTCCCGACGATAGGGAGAAAAACAGCGTCCAAAGAGGCCGGGAGATTTACTTTGTGAGCCATCCAGACCTGCTGCTGAGCACTCGCGCTCGGCTTTTAGGAGTGCTAGGTGAGTAGACATCAAGCATCCCCACCTCTGAAAGAAAGGCCTGCGAGCTGCGCCCAACTTCTGCAATCCCGGGTTTCCCCCAAGTTGAGGAGAAGGGTCCCGGGGCCGAGCCGCCCTCCTGCCCCCAAGCATCCTTCCTCGTGTGCGCCCAAACAAGCGTCCAGTCGGCGGGTGGCCCTGGGTTCGAGGGCCGGGCTTCCCTCACGCGCGACCCCCCGCCCCCCAGCAAACCCGGCCTCGGAAAGGAGAGCGCAAACCCGGGGACGCGGAGGGGGTGGGAATGGGAATGGGAAGGCGCGCGGCTGTCGCCCACCCCGAAGCGGAAGGTAACGCGCGCCCCAGCGCGGTGGAAACGTGGCAGGAGCCTCGCTCCAGGCGGCGTCTCCTCCCCCAGGAGCCCGCACAGGGTCCCCACAGTAACCCTTGCGGACCGCCCCGCCGCCCCCGGCCCTTCCCTCACGGGAGCCGGCGCCGGTGCAGACCGGCAAGGTCCCGCACTCCACTTTCCCCCGGCGCAGCCCCGTCAGCGAGCCTTCGACGTGGCCGCAGGGGCGCCCGGACCACCCTCCCCCCGCCGATGCCCTCAGCCCCGCCATGTCCGCCTCCCCCGGCCCGGTCTCCTCACCGCCGCCGCCGCTCCGGGGCCGCACAGTGGGCGGCCCGGACACTCTCCCGGGCCGGGAACCGAGGGCGCCGCGTCCGCGGGCCCGCGCTCGGCAGAGGGAACGCGGTGAACCTCGTCCGGCGCG